TCCTAGCTAGCAGCAGGAGAGGGGGGCAGGATGCTGGCTAGCAGCAGGAGAGAAGGCAGGATCCTGGCTAGCAGCAGGAGAGGGGGGCAGGATCCCGGCTAGCAGCAGGAAAGGGGGCAGGATCCTGGCTAGCAGCAGGAGAGGGGGCAGGATCCTGGCTAGCAACAGGAGAGGGGACAGGATCCCGGCTAGCAGCAGGAGAGGGGGCAGGATCCTGGCTAGCAGCAGGAGAGGGGGGGCAGGATCCCGGCTAGCAGCAGGAGAGGGGGCAGGATCCTGGCTAGCAGCAGGAGAGGGGGCAGGATCCGGGCTAGCAACAGGAGAGGGGGGCAGGATCCCGGCTAGCAGCAGGAGAGGAGGCAGGATCCTGGCTAGTAACAGGAGAGGATGCAGGATCCTGGCTAGCAGCAGGAGAGGGGGCAGGATGCTGGCTAGCAGCAGGAGAGGGGGCAGGATGCTGGCTAGCAGCAGGAGAGGGGGCAGGATGCTGGCTAGCAGCAGGAGAGGGGGGCAGGATCCTGGCTAGCAACAGGAGAGGGGGCAGGATCCTGGCTAGCAGCAGGAGAGGGGGCAGGATCCCGACTAGCAGCAGGAGAGGGGGCAGGATGCTGGCTAGCAGCAGGAGAGGAGGCAGGATCCTGGCTAGCAGCAGGAGAGGGGGGCAGGATGCTGGCTAGCAGCAGGAGAGGAGGCAGGATCCTGGCTAGCAGCAGGAGAGGGGGCAGGATCCTGGCTAGCAACAGGAGAGGGGGCAGGATCCCGGCTAGCAGCAGGAGAGGAGGCAGGATCCTGGCTAGCAGCAGGAGAGGGGGCAGGATCCTGGCTAGCAGCAGGAGAGGAGGCAGGATGCTGGCTAGCAGCAGGAGAGGAGGCAGGATCCTGGCTAGTAACAGGAGAGGAGGCAGGATCCTGGCTAGCAGCAGGAGAGGGGGGGCAGGATGCTGGCTAGCAGCAGGAGAGGGGGCAGGATCCTGGCTAGCAGCAGGAGAGGGGGCAGGATCCTGGCTAGCAGTAGGAGAGGGGGGCCAGATCCTGGCTAGCAGCAGGAGAGGGGGCAGGATCCTGGATAGCAGCAGGAGAGGGGGGCAGGATCCTGGCTAGCAGCAGGAGAGGGGGCAGGATCCTGGCTAGCAGTAGGAGAGGGGGGCCAGATCCTGGCTAGCAGCAGGAGAGGGGGCAGGATCCTGGCTAGCAGCAGGAGAGGGGGGCCAGATCCTGGCTAGCAGCAGGCGAGGGGGGCAGGATCCTGGCTAGCAGCAGGCGAGGGGGGCAGGATCCTGGCTAGCAGCAGGAGAGGGGGGCAGGATCCTGGCTAGCAGCAGGAGAGGGGGGCAGGATGCTGGCTAGCAGCAAGAGAGGGGGCAGGATCCTGGCTAGCAGCAGGAGAGGAGGGGAGGGGACCATGGTGATCGTGTCCCCTCCTCTAGCAGCACTAGAGGAGCAAGGCGGCGCCTGTGTAGAGTAAGAAAGGGACAACGTTGGCTCTGGGAACTTTAAATGAGGATCAGTGAGGCACTTCTCTCCGCTAGTGTTACCCGGAACCTCCAGAGTGGAGAATACCTTACCTACCAGCGGGATACGACCACCACGGTAAACTGCATGGTAAACTGTGTAGAATCCCGGACACCCAGTCATGCATACTCAAATATGCAATACAATAAATAAATCGAAGATAGATTGAAATAGTTTTAAAATTTTCTTATAGAATAAGACAACATTTAAAAAAGAAACATTAAATAAAAGTGAACTAAAAGTGGGGGGAACCAATGTATTTTCTTTTGAGGACCGGAGTTGTTAAAATAATTGCAGGATCGAGCTCTCTCATGCATAGTGTGCGGCTCAAGGAAAAACCCGTTATGTCGGCCATGGGGGTGGGGGGGGGGAGGAATAGATGAAGATGACGTCTCACACTTATCTCGTTGCACTGAGAGCGCTTCATGCACGCTGGAAAGGGTTACAGAGGCATATAATCGGTTCAGGAACTGAACCCCATAGTTCGTTTAGCTAAGCAAGTGACAATCTTTTGAAGCTAGTTACACAATTGTTAATGTTACATACACATGTACATATCATATATACACATATATATATATATATATATATATATATATATATATATATATATATATATATATATATATATATGCAATTATTTACACAAATACATATCAGTAATCTTTTTATATCACAAGTGATTCAACAAGAGGCTCACAACAGTCACTATACACCTACGGTGAGTCACACAGTTACTAGTCTTGCTCCACACCCACCGAATTGGGCGGCAGCTATTCAGTCAAGTGCAGGCTGCACTTACAGTAAGCAAATTTTGGATACTTCACTAAGATTCCTGGCAGTATATCATTAAGAATGAAATACTTGCACATTCCTGGACTCAGTGTGTTATCTCTGAATTCCGCGATGTTTTCACATTCCATTATATAATGACGCAAAGTATGCGAATAGTTCTGCTGACAGAGTTTACATTTAGTCAAATCTACATCAGCAGATGTTACAAACTCCCAGAGATACTTGGCAACTAGAGTCAGTCACACAGGATATTGACAGCGCCAGGCTGTCTGCCCGTAGCATATCCAAGTCACTCCTTTCCACTCTTAATGTTCACAGGCTGAGTAGAGGTCAGGTCGTGTGAGGTGACCTCCCTTCTGCTAGGCTGGTAATTGCAGACGGATGGTTGTGTTGCGTCCATCAAACAAGCCGCTGTCCCTTCCATTCACTCTCCAGGTGTGGAATGAAGGTAACCAGAAGCTATCTCCTGATAGGCGGGGTTTAGCTCCCGGTTTCCCCTTAAATACCCGTGGAACTGTACATTACATCTACATTACATATAGAGACAAACTGTACATTACATATAGATAGTAAAGGAACTGTACATTACATATAGATAGAGACAGGGAGAGAGGAGCCTCGCGAGAGCTACACAGGTCTGTTCCAGGCTGGTGGGGACTCTGTCGGTTGATTGGTTGACTAGACGAGAGGATTTTGCAATTTGATGGATTTAGGGACAGTCCTAACTCCTCTTTCTTAGATTTCACCAGCTGTAGATCCCCTAGAAGGGACTCCTGTGTCCCTGGCAGGGTGCCATCGTTCACAACCAGATGCTGAGCTCGCTGGTCGAGCCTGCTTGGGACCTCTTTAGCTGACATGCAGAAAAGGAAAGGGGCAAGTGGGTCTCCCTGCTGGACACCTGCGGAAACAACGTCATGTTCCCCAAACAACAGTGTCGATTCCCAACTGTACCCTCCTGGATCGAAGGGAAGTAGACAAGGAAAGCTTATTCGAACTTCTTCCAGTACCACATCTCTTTTTACCTGGTTAAACGTATTTTTAAAATCTGGTTTAATGCCTTATTTTCCAGGAGGCTCATGCTGCATGAGCTGCTGCTTCACAGCCAGGGGAGGGGGGGGGGGGACACCAGAACATTGTTGATGGGGTCGAAGCATCGTTGCAGCTTCCCTGCGGATGTTTCTGACAGCTGCCCTGGCAACACGGTGCCGAAGTGTCACCCGCGATAACTGGTCTGACTCCACCACCCTTCTTCAGGGCACTAAGGGATGCTACGACGAAGGGCTTGTGTCTGGGGATCAGCCCAGAGAGGCGGCTGTTGACACCCTTCGTGACCTCTGACAGTCGTGTCCGGGTAACTTGGCCCAGAACTAGGTTTGCCATCTCCTTGAGGTGGCAAGGAGATGGCACCTCCCTGCTGAGCCCGGCGGAAATTACATAATTGCCTTGAATACCTCCGACTCTTGAGGAAATAATGGTCCTAAGCGTAGAACATTTTGTGACCTGATTAGTGCTTCCCGTGGTGCTGAGGAAGAGTCCTCTTCTCTCAGTGAAAAGACTGTGGCAGTATTTTTAGATGTGATTGTGCTTTCGCTAATAATTAACCTCAGTGCCCCTTCTGTGTTGCCCTCTTCATTTTTGTTGAAAATAGGAATCGAAATGAGCAAACTGGTATCGAAACTCTGTTCTTCACGGCGGTTTTTGCGTTGATAAGGGATGAGTGATCAAGATATCAGCTCCAGCGAATTATATATAATTATCAAAGATCAATTAAAAGGTTTAAGAATAGTGGGAGTCCGACAAGTGGGAAGCAAGTACATGGCCGGGGTTCGAGGCTCCTCAACCGTCGACCTCGAGAAGGGAAACAACAGGTGAGGAGAATAACAATGACCCAAGTGCCTGGAGTGACGGAGCACCCGCCTCTAAGTCTGTACGTCTCAGCACAATCAACGCCCAGATTGCGTCTGGCCCTTTTAAGAAGTCAAGTCATTTTCAACAAGAGAATGGCGTATTATTAGTCTACTTCCAGCGTGAAATGCTTTAAAACATTTACTGTAATTTGGTTAATAAGCACATTGGGGAAGTGAGAGGGGGGTGGGGGGGAGGAGGGAATGAAGGCGAGGTAGTGGAGTGAGGGATGGGGAGGGAGTGGAAGGGGAGGGAGGGGAAGGGAGGGAGGGGAAGGAAGGGAAGAGGGGGGGGGGGAAGGGAGCAATACTCGCCAGAAGCTTAACAACACAGCAGTGTTGCCAGCAGCAACACACACACTTGCTACAAGTTCACCTCTAACTGTAAGACCTGGCTCACTAGTGCTCAATATACCGTACAATAAATTAATACAAGATATATATGTAAATGATAATTTAATACAATTAAAGAAAAAAAATAGTTTCTGCAATAAGACCAAATATTATTAATAACAAAGAAAACTGAAGTCAAAGTGGAGAAGCCAAACTTTTAAGTCTGGAAATACCTTTAATCCAAGTGAAGCAGAGTCTCAAAAGAAGACATCACACCGGGCTGTGGACTATGTAGCAGTTAGGCCTAAAGGTACCAGAGAGAGAGAGAGAGAGAGCCAGCATTAGCTGCTCTCCGGTCATGATAATCTTGGAGGCCACTATGCCTCATCTTCCAATGGTGAGAAGATGAGGCACAGTGCCACATCAAATCCCCCCCCCACCACCACCAATAGGGGGATGGTTATTGACAGTGTTGACGACAACTCTCACACCCCGAGGACGGCCCCCACGACCATCACAGGTAACAGACACACCACACTCAAATAAGCTGATGGTGTAGAATAGCTCGGTCGATAGATCTTCGGCCTCACACGCTTGGGGTCCATGGTTCGAGTCTCCCAGAGCCCAGGTGAATGTGAGGTGCTAGTGTTTTGTCTACCCCCACACACAACAATATGCTTCCCCAACCAGACAGTGTTCTATACTCACACACGCAGCAACTGTCGCCCCTCACGGTGGTGTGATGGCCGAGCTTACGAGGAAACAGTAAGCACCAGCCCCACAATGTTGACGCTGCCACAATACACAGAGGAATCTGCAGCAGCACCTTCGAATGACATGTAACTCCCCTGGAGCATACCTGGAGAGGGTTTCGAGAGTTCTTCTACTCCCCGAGCCCGGCCTGGAGCCAGGCTTGACTTGCAATAACTTGGTCCAACAGACTGTTGCTTGGAGCGGCCCGCAGGCCCACACACCCACAAGACACCCTCGGGGGAGCCTTCTGTAACTCCCCCAGCCTCCTCAACACAATTTCTATTTACGTTTGTGTGTGATGTGACCTGGTGACAGGTTTTCAGTCCAACTCCGACCCAGATGTTGCCTGTAATTTTATATCTAAATTTGTCATAATGGTATCCACAGTTTTGTACTCAGAGTCCGGGTGCTGATTCTACGACCCTGAACTCCCTTGCTTCTCTTATCCAATTTCACAATCAAATCACTTGGCCCATTACCCTACGGCCTAAACGCCTTTCTAAATTGAATTCTGTTAGTCTCGCTCCATAAAAGAGGTTCTCGATCCTTGGATTCAATTTAGTAATCCTTCTCTGAATGCTCTCAGTGGAGAATACGTCCCCCTGAATACTGTGTATAATAGTCTACATTGGCAACTAGAGCCACGGCTGTGAGCCTAATATCTGGTCTCCAATTGTAAGAGAACTTCTCTAGTTAAGCATGTAGGGTGTGGTAGTTCCTGGTGCAGGGTGTGGTAGTTCCTGGTGCAGGGTGTGGTAGTTCCTGGTGCAGGGTGTGGTAGTTCCTGGTGCAGGGTGTGGTAGTTCCTGGTGCAGGGTGTGGTAGTGTCTGGTGCAGGGTGTGGTAGTGTCTGGTGCAGGGTGTGGTAGTTCCTGGTGCAGGGTGTGGTAGTTCCTGGTGCAGGGTGTGGTAGTTCCTGGTGCAGGGTGTGGTAGTTCCTGGTGCAGGGTGTGGTAGTTCCTGGTGCAGGGTGTGGTAGTGTCTGGTGCAGGGTGTGGTAGTGTCTGGTGTAGGGTGTGGTAGTTCCTGGTGCAGGGTGTGGTAGTTCCTGGTGCAGGGAGTGGTAGTTCCTGGTGCAGGGTGTGGTAGTTCCTGGTGCAGGGTGTGGTAGTTCCTGGTGCAGGGTGTGGTAGTTCCTGGTGCAGGGTGTGGTAGTTCCTGGTGCAGGGTGTGGTAGTTCCTGGTGCAGGGTGTGGTAGTTCCTGGTGCAGGGTGTGGTAGTTCCTGGTGCAGGGTGTGGTAGTGTTTGGTGCAGGGTGTGGTAGTGTCTGGTGCAGGGTGTGGTAGTTCCTGGTGCAGGGTGTGGTAGTTCCTGGTGCAGGGTGTGGTAGTTCCTGGTGCAGGGTGTGGTAGTTCTGGTGCAGGGTGTGGTAGTGTCTGGTGCAGGGTGTGGTAGTGTCTGGTGCAGGGTGTGGTAGTGTCTGGTGCAGGGTGTGGTAGTGTCTGGTGCAGGGTGTGGTAGTGTCTGGTGCAGGGTGTGGTAGTGTCTGGTGCAGGGTGTGGTAGTGTCTGGTGCAGGGTGTGTGGTAGTGTCTGGTGCAGGGTGTGGTAGAGTCTGGTGCAGGGTGTGGTAGTGTCTGGTGCAGGGTGTGGTAGTGTCTGGTGCAGGGTGTGGTAGTGTCTGGTGCAGGGTGTGGTAGTGTCTGGTGCAGGGTGTGGTAGTGTCTGGTGCAGGGTGTGGTAGTGTCTGGTGCAGGGTGTGGTAGAGTCTGGTGCAGGGTGTGGTAGAGTCTGGTGCAGGGTGTGGTAGTTCCTGGTGCAGGGTGTGGTGAAGTCTGGTGCAGGGTGTGGTAGAGTCGGGTGCAGGGTGTGGTAGAGTCTGGTGCCTGGTACCCACAGGTTTAGAGTGCCACATCCCAGGCCTAGTTTAAAATGGTTGGCTGTAGGTCACTAAATGGGCGGAGCTTAGAAAACTAGAATAGATTGTGGGTGGAGTTATTCTTCACTTGTAGGTTGTCGAACTAAAATTTAATTAGTGTGATTTGGGCGTGTGTGGCTCCTGGGCCGGAACAGAGCCAACATCATCTCGGCTTGGATAAGCAGTAGAGCGGTGCGGGGCTCGGTCGTCCACCTCCCGGGGCTCGTGTGGCCCAGGCTCTGCTTCAGGAGGCTGGGGTCGTTCTGCCACACCCGTGCAGGGTGTGGCAGTCTCCCGTGCAGGGTGTGGGAGACAAGGATACTTAAGAGAATCCTCCGTTGCTCAAAACACGTGGGACGCAAGCAGCAGCAGCAGAGAGCAGCAGCATCATCACCAGTGGTACAGCCAGCAGCAGCATCACCGGCGGTACAGCCAGCAGCATCAGCAGCGGTACAGTGAGCAGCAGCATCACCAGTGGTACAGCCAGCAGCAGCATCACCGGCGGTACAGCCAGCAGCAGCATCACCGGCGGTACAGCCAGCAGCAGCATCACCAGCGGTACAATGAGCAGCAGCATCACCAGCGGTACAGCCAGCAGCAGCATCACCAGCGGTACAGTGAGCAGCGGCATCACCGGCGGTACAGCCAGCAGCAGCATCACCAGCGGTACAGCCAGCAGCAGCATCAGCAGCGGTACAGCCAGCAGCAGCATCACCAGCGGTACAGTGAGCAGCGGCATCACCGGCGGTACAGCCAGCAGCAGCAGCGGTACAGTCAGCAGCAGCAGCAGCGGTACAGTCAGCAGCAGCAGCAGTAGCAGCGGTACAGTCAGCAGCAGCAACAGCAGCAGCGGCACAGTCAGCAGCAGCATTAGCAGCGGTACAGCCAGCAGCAGCATCAGCAGCAGCAGCAGCGGTACAGTCAGCAGCGGTACAGTCAGCAGCAGCATCACCAGCGGTACAGTCAGCAGCAGCAGCATCACCAGCGGTACAGCCAGCAGCAGCATCACCAGCGGTACAGCCAGCAGCAGCATCACCAGCGGTACAGCCAGCAGCATCCCCAGCGGTACAGCCAGCAGCATCCCCAGCGGTACAGCCAGCAGCAGCATCACCAGCGGTATAGCCAGCAGCAGCATCAGCAGCGGTACTGCCAGCAGCAGCATCAGCAGCGGTACAGCCAGCAGCATCACAACGGTACAGCCAGCAGCAGCATCAGCAGCGGTACAGCCAGCAGCAGCATCACCAGTGGTACAGCCAGCAGCAGCATCAGCAGCGGTACAGCCAGCAGCAACATCACCAGCGGTACAGCCAGCAGCAGCATCAGCAGCGGTACAGCCAGCAGCAGCATCACCAGCGGTACAGCTAGCATCAGCAGCGGTACAGCCAGCAGCAGCATCAGCAGCGGTACAGCCAGCAGCAGCATCAGCAGCGGTACAGCCAGCAGCAGCATCAGCAGCGGTACAGCCAGCAGCAGCATCAGCAGCGGTACAGCCAGCAGCATCAGCAGCGGTACAGCCAGCAGCAGCATCATCAGCGGTGCAGCTAGCAGCAGCATCACCAGCGGTACAGCCAGCAGCAGCATCACCAGCGGTACAGCCAGCAGCAGCATCACCAGCGGTACAGCCAGCAGCAGCATCCCCAGCGGTACAGCTAGCAGCATCCCCAGCGGTACAGCCAGCAGCAGCATCACCAGCGGTACAGCTAGCAGCATCACCAGCGGTACAGCCAGCTGCAGCATCACCAGCGGTGCAGCCAGCAGCATCACCAGTGGTACAACCAGCAGCAGCATCCCCAGCGGTACAGCCAGCAGCAGGATCCCCAGCGGTACAGCTAGCAGCAGCATCACCGGCGGTACATCCAGCAGCAGCATCACCAGCGGTACAGCTCCCAGCAACATCCCCAGCGGTACAGCCAGCAGCATCCCCAGCGGTACAGCCAGCAGCAGCATCACCAGCGGTACAGCTCCCAGCAGCATCCCCAGCGGTACAGCCAGCAGCAGCATCACCAGCGGTACAGCTCCCAGCAGCATCCCCAGCGTTACAGCCAGCAGCAGCATCACCAGTGGTACAGCTCCCAGCAGCATCACCAGCGGTACAGCTAGCAGCAGCATCACCAGCGATACAGCTAGCAGCAGCATCACCAGCGGTACAGCTAGCAGCAGCATCACCAGCGGTACAGCCAGCAGCAGCATCACCGGCGTTACAGCCAGCAGCAGCATTACCAGCGGTACAGCTAGCAGCAGCATCACTAGCGGTACAGCCAGCAGCAGCATCACCGGCGATACAGCCAGCAGCAGCATCACCAGCGGTACAGCCAGCAGCAGCATCACCAGCGGTACAGCCAGCAGCAGCATCACCAGCGGTACAGCTAGCAGCAGCATCACCAGCGGTACAGCTAGCAGCAGCATCACCAGCGGTACAGCTAGCAGCAGCATCACCGGCGGTACAGCTAGCAGCAGCATCACCAGCGGTACAGCCAGCAGCATCACCGGCGATACAGCCAGCAGCAGCATCACCAGCGGTACAGCCAGCAGCAGCATCACCGGCGATATAGCCAGCAGCAGCATCACCAGCGGTACAGCCAGCAGCAGCATCACCGGCGGTACAGCCAGCAGCAGCATCACCAGCGGTACAGCCAGCAGCAGCATCACCGGCGGTACAGCCAGCAGCATCACCAGCGGTACAGCCAGCAGCAGCATCACCGGCGTTACAGCCAGCAGCAGCATCAGCAGCGGTACAGCCAGCAGCATCAGCAGCGGTACAGCCAGCAGCAGCATCAGCAGCGGTACAGCCAGCAGCAGCATCAGCAGCGGTACAGCCAGCAGCAGCATCAGCAGCGGTACAGCCAGCAGCAGCATCAGCAGCGGTACAGCCAGCAGCAGCATCAGCAGCGGTACAGCCAGCAGCAGCATCAGCAGCGGTACAGCCAGCAGCAGCATCAGCAGCGGTACAGCCAGCAGCAGCATCAGCAGCGGTACAGCCAGCAGCATCACCGGCGGTACAGCCAGCAGCAGCATCAGCAGCGGTACAGCCAGCAGCATCAGCAGCGGTACAGCCAGCAGCAGCATCACCAGCAGTACAGCCAGCAGCATCACCGGCGGTACAGCCAGCAGCAGCATCATCGGCGGTACAGCCAGCAGCAGCATCACCGGCGGTACAGCCAGCAGCAGCATCACCGGCGGTACAGCCAGCAGCAGCATCACCGGCGGTACAGCCAGCAGCAGCATCACCGGCGGTACAGCCAGCAGCAGCATCACCGGCGGTACAGCCAGCAGCAGCATCACCAGCGGTACAGCTAGCAGCAGCATCACCGGCGGTACAGCTAGCAGCAGCATCACCAGCGGTACAGCCAGCAGCAGCATCACCGGCTATACAGCCAGCAGCAGCATCACCGGCGGTACAGCCAGCAGCAGCATCACCAGCGGTACAGCCAGCAGCAGCATCACCAGCGGTACAGCCAGCAGCAGCATCACCAGCGGTACAGCCAGCAGCATCACCAGCGGTACAGCTAGCAGCAGCATCACCAGCGGTACAGCCAGCAGCAGCATCACCGGCGGTACAGCTAGCAGCAGCATCACCAGCGGTACAGCTAGCAGCAGCATCACCGGCGGTACAGCTAGCAGCAGCATCACCAGCGGTACAGCCAGCAGCAGCATCCCCAGCGGTACAGCCAGCAGCAGCATCACCAGCGGTACAGCCAGCAGCAGCATCACCAGCGATACAGCCAGCAGCAGCATCACCGGCGGTACAGCCAGCAGCAGCATCACCAGCGGTACAGCCAGCAGCATCACCAGCGGTACAGCTAGCAGCAGCATCACCAGCGGTACAGCCAGCAGCAGCATCACCGGCGGTACAGCCAGCAGCAGCATCACCGGCGGTACAGCCAGCAGCAGCATCACCAGCGGTACAGCCAGCAGCATCACCAGCGGTACAGCCAGCAGCAGCATCACCGGCGGTACAGCCAGCAGCAGCATCACCGGCGGTACAGCCAGCAGCAGCATCACCAGCGGTACAGCCAGCAGCAGCATCACCAGCGGTACAGCCAGCACCAACATCACCAGCGGTACAGCCAGCAGCAGCATCACCAGCGGTGCAGCCAGCAGCAGCATCACCAGCGGTACAGCCAGCACCAACATCACCAGCGGTACAGCCAGCACCAACATCACCAGCGGTACAGCCAGCACCAACATCACCAGCGGTACAGCCAGCAGCTGCATCACCAGCGGTACAGCCAGCAGCAGCATCACCAGCGGTACAGCCAGCATCAGCAGCGGTATAGCCATCATCAGCAGCATCTCCCAGCCTCTCAGCAAAGTCATCTTAATCCAATTAATCCAGTTTTGTTATTACACCCGTCGTGCCCGAGTGAACTATGCAATTTATTACCGGTAGGCTGCGTGTGTTTAGTCCGCTAACAATGAAGTTCAGAGCACAGCGATGATTTGCCGTCCAGGGTACCCAATTAGGAGTAATGATGCTCTGGTTATCATGTGCAGCATTGGTTGCCAAGATATCCAGGCTCACAGGTTCCTCGGGAGCACTGGCCACACTTCCGTCTCGCTAGATTAAAGATTGCTGTACAGCATTTGTAATGTTGCATGCACCCTGCACTGTTAAGGCTCTGCACACTGATGCAACGTTGACAAGGAACCTAAAATTATCTAAATTAATGCTCTAGATATGATAGTTCAAGATTTCTAGAATGTACATTTTAATTTTCTATGCAACGTTAAGATTCGGGGAGTTTATAGCAATTATATATTTTTAACAGTTTCAAATAGGAATTGTTTAAAAACAGCGCACGTTGTGTACAACAAATAATATTGTGAATATATGTGAAACAAAATAAATAATGCAATAACGTACTTTTGACCGGTGGCAGGGAGTGGGTGGGTGACCCTCCGTCACTAACCTGTGGAAGACAACAGTACTTAGATAGAAGCCGTTGATGATCTTGTATACAAACCCGGTTTTGAAATTCGTCCAACCACAAAACAATAAACACATTTTGTAAATACTTTCACATCATCAGCAAGTTGCTGCAGGAAAGGATCATATGTGTGTGTGTATTTGTGCCATATTAGTGCCACCTGGAGCTTAACAATGCCAGTGATACTGTGCCCCAGGAAAGGCTCGTTAGAGAGACAGAGGTGTACGGTACTGGTAGCAGCGGAAGGGACTTCAGCAATTCGGAGGGCTTCCAGGGGATATACCAGCTGCACTTAACTCTGCAGATGTAGCTCCTCTGCACAAGGGGGGGTAGTACAACTTTGGCAAAAAATTATAGGCCAGTTGCACTAACATCACACATAATAAAAGTGTTTGAAAGAGTGATTAGGAATCAAATTTCTAGTTTTATGGAAAATAATGAGCTACACAACCCAGGACAACATGGATTTAGAGCGCGAAGATCCTGTCTGTCACAGTTACTCAACCACTATGACAAAATCACATAAGCTCTAGAAGAAAAGCAAAATGCAGATGTTGTAAACACAAATTTTGCAAAGGCGTTCGACAAATGTGACCATGGGATTTGTAATGTTGTTACAATGTCGTGTTGTGTGTAATGTCGCACACAAAATGAGGTCAATAATTGGTAAAGTAGGACGCTGGATACTCAATTTCCTGTCGAACCGAACACAAAGAGTAACAGTCAAATAAAATCGAGTCCAAGCGCAGTTAAAAGCTCTGTACCTCAAGGTACAGTCCTTGCACCGCTACTGTTCCTTATTCTCATATCAGATACAGACAAAAATACACGTCACAGCTTCGTGTCATCCTTTGCAGATGACACAAAAATCAGCATGAAAATTACCTCTGCTGAAGACATTTAAAAATTACAAGCAGATATCAACAAAGTTTTCGATTGGGCAGCAGAAAATAATATGATGTTTAACAGTGATAAATTTCAGGTACTCAGGTACGGCAAAAATGAGGATCTGAAATATAATACAGGGTACAAAACATAATCGAATCTGCCCATAGTAGGAAAACAGCATGTCAAGGATTTGGGAATAATGATATCCGACGATCTAACGTTTAGGGAGCATAACCAAGCAAATATTGCGTCAGCCAGAAAAATGATCGGATGGATTACGAGAACTTTCAAATCCAGGGATCCCATCACAATGGTTGTACTCTTCAAGTCACTTATGTTGTCCCGTCTCGAGTACTGCTCAGTACTCACTTCCCCCTTCAGAGCAGGAGAGATTGTTGAAATAGAGGGAATACAAAGAACATATACGGCACGCATAGACGAGATAAAACACCTAAATTATTGGGATCGTCTCAAAGCCCTCCAAATGTAATCTCTAGAAAGGAGACGAGAGATATACCAAATAATATACACGTGGAAAATACTGGAGGGCCAGGTCCCAAATCTACACAGTAAAATAACAACGTACTGGAGTGAACGATATGGAAGAAAATGCAATATTGAACCAGTGAAGAGCAGAGGTGCCATAGGCACAATCAGAGAACACTGTATAAACATCAGAGGTCCGCGGTTGTTCAACGTCCACCCAGCGACTATAAGAAATATTGCCGGAACAACCGTGGACATCTTCAAGAGAAAACTGGACGGTTTTCTAAGAGAAGTTCCGGATCAGCCGGGCTGTGGTGGGTATGTGGGCCTGCCTCGTGGGTGGACCACTCTGCAGATCTCATTTGCAAAGAATGCTGGACCATGCAGAGAATGGTCCAGGACGGACCGAAACGTCGTCGTCCCTTCACCTTCTAGTGTGTGGTCTGGTCAACATTCTTCAGCCACGTTATTGTGACTCGTCGCCTGCAGATCTCATTTGTTCTACTGTCATCAGTTTTGCTTCGTTTGTCGAAGTGAGTTCCTAGAGACATGTAGAATCCCACTTCGTCGATTTTGCCTTTGGCACTGAAACATACGTTTTTGGCACTGAAACATACGCCTTTGGCACTGAAACATACGCCTTTGGCACTGAAACATACGCCTTTGGCACTGAAACATACGCCTTTGGCACTGAAACATACGCCATTGACACAAACATACGTCTATGGCACTGAAACATACGTCTATGCACTGAAATATACGCCTTTGACACAAACATACGTCTATGGCACTGAAACATACGCCTGAACAAACTAATAACAAAAACAGGAACCTCTTTAAGCACCAACGTAAATACTAAGCCCACCAACATAGGATTATGCCTGAACGGTAGAAGTGAGTGCCCCCAAGGTGGGGGAGTGCCCTCAAAGATAAAGCCAGTGTTCTCAATG